TAAATCGCTGGCAAATAGGGTGAAAATTGAGTAGCAAAGACAATTTAGGAACGGAAAAGTCCGATCTGCCCGCCAAGGGTGTGGAAAATCGAAGAAACACTATCCAAATGGACAGGCTCGCAGGGATTCTCTGCGGAAATTATCCAAAGTTGTTTTCTGATCGGCAGCTAGTATAAAAATCGCGCAGGCAAACTAGCAGAGAACATTTGGGAACGGGAAAGTCCGAACTGCCGGCAAAATTGCCCGGGAAATCGAAGAAAAACTACCCGGATCGGCAGGCTAGCAGGGACTCTTTGCGGAAACGATCCAAAGCTGCTACTTGGCCGCCAGTTAGCGGAAAAATGGCATGGCAGGCTAGCATAAACCATTTGACAATCGTGAAGCTCCAAAAATCCAAAAAATCCACACACCAAAATCGCCAAAAACCCAAAAAATCCAAAAATTTCGACAAGGCAAGCTGGCAGGGACCATTGAGGAAAAGCTGAGCTGCGGAAGGACGATTTGAAGCCTAGCCTGGGACACTAGTCGGATAATATTTTGATACCGAAAAAGGGGCGTGGCCTAGCTAGGGGGGGGGCAGATGTTTTGATCGTTGTGGGGGAGCTACACACAAAAAGTGCAACTAATAGGGTGGGGTGGGGCTATTTTGTTACGCACAAAGGGCAGGCTAGCAGCGAATATTGGGGAATCAGGGGACAACGACAGAGATCATTGGGGAAAGGGCATGCTAGCAGTGATTCTCTGAGGAATTTCAAGTTATCGAGTAGAGATTTTTGGAATTTAAAGGGAGCGTGACAGCAAGAAAATTGGCGGGCTAGCCGAGATAATTTAGGAATTTCGGTGTAACTAGCAGAGAGTATTTGAGTTAAGGCAAGCTTGCGGTGATGCTTTAGGAAATTCAAGGTGTAGGCAGAGATTTTGGGGCTAAAGGGGCGTGGGCAAGATTGGGCTAGACATCCTTAGGAAGGGGGCGATTGAGGTGTGGGGGCAAGCTAGCAGAGATTCCTGGATTCTAAAGGGAGCGAGACAGCTTGCAGAAAAACTTAGAAACGGCAACCAGCCGAGATTCTTGAGGAAATGAGGGGGCAGGCTAGCAGTGATTGTTTAGGAAATTTTCATTTTCTCGACGCCTTTTTTGATGAGTCTTTTGGGGGAAAAGGGCAACAATCAGCCGTGTTTATAAATTCCCAGACATGTCTCAATTTTGGGCAAAACACTGATGGCCATCTAGCAGAAATTCTTTAGGAAATGGGGCAGGCTAGCAGAGACGATTTGACATGGACCATTCGGCAAACTGACTTCCAGACTAGCCGAAAACACACAAAAAGCCCCCAAAAAATGGGCAATTCTTAGGGCCAAAGGGCCCGGGGACCGCCCCGGGCGTGAAATATGTTGTTTTCGTAGTTTTCTGGCTGGCAAAAGAAAGAGAGAGAGAGAGGGAGAGCGAGAGAGAGAGCCAGGAAGAAAGGGACAAACAGACCGACAGACAAACAGACTAACTATAGTAGTAAACATCCTAGAGAACGGGGGGAATACCAAGCGAGAAATGGCCTTTCCGGTCCCGAAATTCCAATTTTCGCCCTTTCAACGCCATGCCCTTTAAAACACTTCACTAGCCCTTTAAAAAACAGAAATTGCGCCGGAATACAGTAACCTGGCAGGCAGTTCGACCGAAAAAAAGCAAAAATACAAAACGTCTAAACGCATTCGGAACCCCTGAAAAATCGAAAAAAACCCGAAATTTCTAGCAAAATGAGGAAGATCGAGCCCAAAAGGTTAAAAAAATTTGTGAAACAAAAATTCCGTCGGAATACAGTAATCTGCCGGGCAGTTAGCAAAAAGGGAGAAATCTATGGGATCTGAATCCTTACATGGCCCTTTAAAATCCAAAAAATCTCAATTTTTCAGCAAAATGAGCTGAAACGAGTCCAAAAAAGCCTAAATTCATTCGAAAAACAAAAACACTTGTGAAATACAGTAATCTGACAAGCAGTAAGGAAATTGTGATATCGTCCGAATGTCCGGACTGTCCCAAACGCCCGGACGGATGCCCTTTAGTACCCCGAAAACCAGTGATCGCTCGCTGAAGGGGGGTGAGTCAGACAGAGAGGGGAGAGAGTGGGGGAAGAGAGAGGGGCAGACGGGAAGGGGGTGAGAGAGTGGGGGAGGGGGAGAGGGGGCAGACGATAGGGGCGGCAGAAAGAGACTAGAGCGGTGGAATATTCTGGAAGCCGCTTGAGCTAGCCAGCCAGCTAGTGTCCCCCTCGTGGGGGTTGTTTACGAGCGCGGTAAGTGACGCTTGGGGCGGACGCGGACAAAGCGGAAACGTGTGTTGAAATAAGGTTTGCGCAATGGTGAGGCGGAAAAACAAGCGGATGTGTTTTGAAACCGGAAAAACGCCTAAAAATCAACTTTGGGGAAAAAAAAAAAAAAAAAAAAAAAAAAAAAAAAAAAAAAAAAAAAAAAAAAAAAAAAAAAATTTTCGATTACGGTAGGCCAGCTAGCGGAGATTTTTGGGGAATTTTTCAGGGAAACGCCAAACTGGCATCCAATTGAAAGGATCGAAATGGAAAATCGTAGATTTTTACCACAAACCTGGAAAAATTAACCAAGAGCACAAAAAATTGCCCCATTTTCCAGGTAAACTGGCAAAGATCGTTTAGGAATCCCAAATTTTTTGATATTTAGGTTCCCTGGGCACCAGTTTGAAGCCTAGCAGAGAGACTTTCGGAAAATCTAACCTCCAGGGCAGGCTAGCAGCAATTTTTTAGGAATCCGAAGACACTTTTTATGTTGATATGTTCGCTCCCAAAAACAGACAAAAACCCGCACACAAATAGGCTAATTCGGGTCCAAAAATTCGCCAAATTTGCACAGCACCTGCGTCATTAGGGTGCCCCGCGGAATTGGGCAAATTCGTGGCGGGTACACGGCGAATTTCATAGAAAAACATCCAAGTTTTTCATAGAGTTTTCCGGGCGGAAATTGGCCAATCTGGAGGCGCGTGTTGCCCGAAATCGGTGTGGATCGTCGTAGGATGAAGCCGAGGGGAAATTGGACCTTATAAGACACTGATTTCCGGTCGTTTTGATACGAAAATTGGCGATTTTTGGGTAGAGATTTTGCTAGAATTCGAGGGATCAGCAGAATTTTGAGGACGCAAACCGATAAATTGGCAGGCAAACTGGCAGGGATTTTTTTGGAAAATTCGATTGGACGCCAGCTAGCAAAAATTCTTTGAGAAGTCCAAAAAAGTTCGATCTGCCATCTAAGGGTCTTGAAATCGTTCGAAGTGGGCAAGCTAGCAGGGGTTCCTTGCGGAAACTTTATCTTTCTACTTACTGGTTGCCCCCTCACTTAAAAATCGTCTAGGCAAGCTAGCAGAGATTACTTAGGCCCCAGAAAAGACAGATATGACCTCAAAACCTCGGAAAAGCGTCGAAAACGTCCAAATCGGGCAACGTAGCGTAGATTCTTTGCGGAAACTTCTTCTATGGACTAATTGACTGCCAGTTAGGCTCAAGCTCTCCCTGGCAAACTAGCAAACACCATTTATCACCTCAAAAAGTCCGATCTGCCCCCTCGGGGAAAGGTCAAAATAATGCGCGTGCGGCTTCCCCCCCTCCCTGATCCGTGTATGTCCAATTGTCCCCCAAAATGCGTGGGTGTTCAGCTAAAAAACGAGGCGCCGACCAGCACCGGAAAACGGCCCGCACGAATAATAGGGGTTTTTGATAGAGCGGATATTACTGTTTGGAAAGTGCCAAAAATGAGGTGCCGGATTAAAGCGGGGGAAGCTGGTGGAAAAAACACATTTAACGATCCGCCCGATTCGCGCATGTTCACTGCCAGAAAACAGGGACGAAATTAAGGGGGAGCTCCCCAAAAAATCTCTGCTATTTATCGAAAATCAGAAAATCCAAAAAATGAGTTTTCGAGAAATTCTGTGAACCATTTTCAGGGCCGTTAAAAATTGGCTTCTGGTGGGTTACGGTAGTTGGAAATTTGAGAGTCTGATAGAACTGAATCCTACTATATATAAAAAAATAGTGTCTGTGTGTTGTGTGTGTTTGTGTGTGTGTGCCACTTTGCATCCACTTCCGTCTGTCTGTCCGGAGGATATCTCAGGAAGGGACGGGTATTAGGCTACGTATGATACGTCATTAGGTGCGAAATGGTCTAGGGATGGCTGCACACATATCAGAATTTTAAAAATTAGCCATTGTCGCTATTAAATTTAGGGTTTTGTAAAAACCTCTTTGTTAGGAAGAATTAGCATAGACCGGAAGTGGGCCGTCGCCTATATAAAGAGGCAGAAAGGGTTGTTTTTCATTTTTTTTTGTCTTCTGAATGGAGGACAATTATGCAAAGGGCAGAATAGTATGGGGTCCGAGACGGGGCCAGGGTTGAAAAGTCGCGAAGCGGCTTTTCAACCCTGGTTCCCTCTTTAAAATGATACATAACACTCCTCTAAAGTAGCCCCAACCGTTAAGAGAAATGACGCGGAAAACGGGAAAAATCGCCAAAACGTCAATTTTTGCCGACTTTGAAGCTTCATAAAATGAGAATACAGCTAGCTACAGTAGTGAACAATTGGAATCTGAGATAACTAAATCACCTCTTTAAAATCGTGTATAAAAATCCCCTACAGTATTCCAAATTATCAACAGAAATGCCCCGGAAAGTCGGGAAAATCTCAATTTTTACCGACTTTGAGATGTCATAAAATGAGAATCCAGATGGGTACAATAATAAAACTCCAAAATCTGGTAAAACTCATTCCGCTCTTGTAAACAAACTATAAAAATACCCTACTGTACCCCCAACCGTCAAGAGGAATCGCGCGGAAAATGGGATTTTCGAGTCTTTAAACGAAAAAATTTTTATTTTAGTATTTTTATTTTATTTTATTTAAAATTTCGGTATTAATTTTTAGTGTTCAATTCATGGAATAAGAGGTTAATGGGTGCCAGCTTAACAGAAAAACCACAAATCTATTAGTAGAAAAAGCTCACTCTGTCCTCCTGCTCCGTATCCGGTGCCCCATCCACCGTATCCAGGTCGAATTGGTGGATCCTGTCCCGCCATCGCGAATTCACAAAAGTCGTCGTTTTTCGCTCGATTTTAGGTGCGATATCGTCAGCCACCGTATCCACATCCTCCTCCTCCTCCGAATTCCGCAAGATTCCTCTGCCAGCATCCCAGGCGCGGGCCCGTTCCATCGCCTCGGTTCCCCACGGGCTGCCCTATAGCAAAAAAGGGTTAGTTTGCAGTTTGCAGTGCGTTTTTAGTAGTTTGCAGCCAAGCAGTTAGTTTTAGAGCTTTTAAAGGGACAGTGACAGCTGAAAAATTATTTTAAAGAATACGGAAAATTTCGAATTTTTCGGATTTTCGAGGTGTCACTGTCCCTTTAAAAGTATCATCAGTGTATGGAATTTTTAAACTGGCTGTCACTGCCCCTTTAAAAATGAGTATTAGGGCGAAAAGTCCAAAGAAAGTCGAAAAATCAACCGATTGCGCAATTTTTGGCCATTTTCGAGGTGTCACTGTCCCTTTAAAACACGGTAGCCTTGCATTCCTCAGCAAATTTACCAAACTGCCATTCGATACATAAATTCGGACTTTTTTAAATTAGTGGTTAGTCAAAAAAATTAAAAATCGAAAACCCATGTATTTCCGGCAATTTTGAGGTGTCACCGCCCCTTTAAAACACGATAACCTGTCATTAACGTGTGTATTAGTTAAACTGTCAGCCAGCAAAGCGATACCTGCAGCGATTGTGGCCCCTCGTCGTCCATTTCACCCATTTCGAGTGGATGTCTATCAGCCCATTTCCCTCCTCCAATCGTCCATTTCATCCCGTCAACAGTTGTTGTTGTGGAATATCCGGACGAGGAATCGGAGAATGCCCTCCGCGCCGTCCGCAGCGCCTCCATTTTGGACGGGCAGCGCGGCTACAAAAAAGGGTTAGTAGCAGCCAAGCGGAAATTGGTTAGAAAAAGCCGAAAAATCGTGATTTTTGTGATGGTGTAGTTTGTAGCAGAAAGTTATAAAAATCAAAATAACTGGATTTTTCGGGTTATTGCATGCTAGATTGGCCGGAAATGCGGTTTAAAAAATATTAGCAACGAAGAAATGGTCAGAAAAGCAGAAAAACGAGATTTTTGAGGTGGTGTAGTTTGTAGTCCAGGGTTAGAAAAATCAAAATAACTGAATTTTTCGGGTTATTGTATGTCAGTTTCACCGAAAATGCGTTTAAAAAAGTAGTAGAAATGCAAAATCGCTAGAAAAGGGTTAGAAAAGCCAAAAATCGTGGTTTTTGAGGTGGTGTAGTTTGTAGTCCAGGGTTAGAAAAATCAAAATAACTGGATTTTTCGGGGGATCGTATGCCGGATTGACCGGAAATGCGGTCATAAAAGGGGGTCAGCCCCAAAAAGCGGAAACTGGTCCGAAAAGCCAAAAAATCGGAATTTTAAGGTGTTGTAGTTCGTAGCTAGGCGCTTTAAAAAATAACGCGTTTTTGAGGTTACTGTATGCCAGATTGGCCAAAGATTGGTCAATCAAAAACTTTCAAGACAAGGAAAAGGGACGCTAGGAGAGCTAGCAGAGGCAATTTCTGGAACCGGCGAGCTAGCAGAAATCTTTGAGGAATTCGTAGAATCGCGCAAGCTAGCAGGGTTTCTTAGGGAAAGTCAAATTGAGCCGGCGACAGGCTAACGGAGATTCTTTAGGAAATGAAGGCAGGCTGGCAGGGATTCTTGAGGAAGGCAAGCCAGCAAGGATCTTGCTGGAAAATTCGAGAAAAGCTAGGCGGCGGTAGGGAACCAAATTGATCGACATATTTGTCGCACCGGCTGGGGGCATTCATTTCCGGTGTCTTTTTCTATGGCTTTCTGTGTGTGTGTCTCTCTCTCTCTCTCTGCCTGTCTCTCTCTCGCAGCTGAGATGTATTATTTGCAAAGCTGCAGGTGGGGGCATGAGAAGGTGTTTTAAAGGGATGGTGACAGGTAGAAAGGTCGAGAGAGAGCGAGAGAAAGAGAGAGACAGCGGTGAACGAGAGAGAGAGTGAGAGAGAGCGTAGGGAGAGAGCGAGAGAGAGTGAGCGAGAGCGAGTGAGAGAGAGCGAGTGAGAGAGAGCGAGAGAGAGAGAAAAAAATCGGCTAAACCCACTCAAACAAGCAAACTAGCAGAGTCAATTTAGGAACACAGACTAGCCAAGATTCTTGAGGAATGCTGGAACCGGAATAACATGGCGTAATTGAATCAGGATTCCATATTTTTCAACCTTCAAAATCTGGCATACCTGCATCTCGCATCTCTTCCAGACAGTCTTGCTACGACGGCGTTGGACCATTGTTTTGAAGCGTTGAGATGAAGAAGACGTCGACGAGGGAGAGGACAGGCTAACACCCCTGAAAAATGGAATTAGAAGGGGCAGACTAGCAGAGATCCTTAGGGAAATCGGTTAACCATTCAAATCACTTAAAAATGGCACAAAAAATTGGGGTTCACCATTGAACAAGCTAAACTGGCGGGCAAGGGGCAGCTAGCAGAGATTATTGGGGAATTCGTCGCTTGGCGTCACTGTCTCGCTCCCTTTAAATTCCCCAAGAATCTCTGCTAGTTACCGCCCAAAAGAGATGCAGAAATGGGGCAGCTAGCAGAGATTCCTGAGGATAGACGAGAGCAGGCAGCAGAGCTTCTTTGAGGAATCCGGGGCAAACTAGCCGAGATTGTTTGCGGAAATTTTGGCCAAAAATTCGATCGATACATTTTTGAAGTTCGAAAAGCCCAAAAACCCCGAAAAAACGCTGAAAATTCGAAGCGGACGGAATTTATTAGGCGAGAGGGGGGCAGCTGAGAAGAATCGAATATCGATACCCCCGATTCTCACAATACCACAAGCCCAAAAACTTGACAAAATAGGGCGCAAAAAAAATCGGAGGCAAGCCAGCAGGGATTCTTGGGGAAAAATGGAAGCTAGCAGGGTTTCTTGAGGATTTAAAGGGATATGACAGCCAATGGCAGGCTAGCAGAGATGGTTTAAAAATTTTTAAAGAAAGCTAGACAGCTCAGGAGAGCTGGCAAGGTTTCTTGAGGAAAGCTGCCAACAAAGATCCTTTAGCAAATGCGGCCAGGCTAGCAGCGATTCTTGAGGACGGCCAGGTAGCTAGCTTGGATTATTTGGGATTAAAGGGGGCGTGACAGCAGGGCAAGGGCAGGCTAGCAGAGACGATTTGCGGAATGGCAATCCAAATATTTGATAAGGGATTGAGATTTTGTTCCGGGATTTTGTCAGGGAAATGGTCGGCGGTTTCCTGTGTGATTGCAGCCCTCATAAACTAGGGGAGATCGGGAGAATGTGTGGGCGGAAATGGAGAGAGGGCAGAGAAAAAGAGAGATGATCGGATAGGATATCACTCGCGTACATATCCCCCCCCCGATATGCCAACAAATGCACCCAACGAAATTAGAAACCGCATAAAGTTAGCGGTGACAATCAATTACGACATAAAAATTTCAGATTGTTGGGATAAATTGATTACGACATCAAAATCGGCTTTGACCAAAGTTTAGGAATCGATTACGGCATGAAAAACAAGGGGTAGGCTAGCAGAGATTGTTGAGGATGTAGTCAATTAAAGGCAACCGAATGGAAAATTCGATTACGACATGAAATTTTAACTTCGATTTGATTACGATAGGAAAATTGACAAGCGATTACGACATGAAATATGTAGTTTGCTGATCAACTAAAAAAGGGCAACGGGAGAAGAATTTGAACTCGAGGGCGAGAAGGGGGAACCGTCGAAGGTTAGAATGGCATACACTTGACCTCGACGAGAAGGGAAGGGAAGGAGAAGCAGGGAGGAGCTGAGAAAGGACAATCAGGAGGGTGGAGAAGGAGCTGGCAAGCTAGCAGAGATTCTTTGCGGAAATCAGGGCAGGCTAGCAGAGGTTCTTTGCGATATCGTGAAGCAGATTAGCAGAGGTTCTTATGGAAAAAGTGAGATAGCAGAGAAAATTTAGGAAAATAAGAGAATACATCTAGCTGTCGCGCTTCCTTTAAAAGCGTTGTTACTCCGATTGGGTGGGAGGCTAGCAGATATCCTTGAGGAATTTCCTGCTGTCACGCTCCCTTTAAAATGGAGCTACAGAGAAAGAGAGAGAGAGAGAGAGAGAGAGAGAGAGAGAGAGAGAGAGAGAGAGAGAGAGCAGAGCAATAGAGAAGGTTAGCAAGCTCGTGCTCCACCCAGATCTGATAGCAATTCCTCCCCTTTCCCATTCCCCCCATTTTGCCATTCATTCTCTCCCCCTCTAGGCAACGTGTTTCCCCCTCTGCTAGTTGAAGGTCGCGAACTGAAAAATAACTTTCTCCTCCTCCCCCTGCCCTCCCTCTCCCTTTTCGGTCTCTCAAATGCCCTGCGGCTACATAAATGACCTGACCTGGAGATGGAAAATTGGAAATAAGGGTACGGTATCGCTAACTGGGCGGCAGCAAAGGGTTTCTACTAGTTGGCTACGACGAATTTCCTCAAAGGATCCCTGCTAGGTTGCCTGAAATGTGGCAAAAATGAGGAAAACGGTAATTGTCCACTGACTGCCAAAAAAAGGTTTCTGCTTGTTTGCCCGAAGCTGTCGTGTTTTCCAGAAGAATCTCTGCTAGCTTGCCTCCAAAGTCCCCAATTTCCTCAAAAATCTCTGTTAGCCTGCCTTGACCGGTGATCTCACTAATCTCTGCTAGCCTGCCATACCTCCTCAATGGTCTGTGCTAGCCTGCCTGTGTGCAAAATGACAGCCTCTAAGCAACTTTGCTAGCCTCCCTCCCAAGCCCCAATTTCCTCAAAGAGTTTCTGATAGCTCTCCTTGGCCTGGCTGTCCCCAAAATCTCGGTTAGTCTGCCAGATATCCCTCAAGGGTTGCTGCTAGCCTGCCGGACGAAAACTGACACTCTCGAAAAATCTCTGCTAGCTGTCTAGCCCTAGAGAGTTTTCCCCAAATAATCTCGGCTAACCTGCCAGATATCCTCAAGGGTTGCTGCTAGCCTGCCCCGGCGAAAAATCACGGTCTCTAAAAATCTCTGCTAGCCTGCCCGGCGCCATAGCAGATTGTCTAATTTTCCGCAAAAATCTCTGCTAGCCTCTCTTCCAGAGAAGCCAATTTTCCTCAAGGATCTCTGCTAACCTGCCGCAAAATAGATTTCCCTAAAAATCACTGCTAGCCTGCCGTTGTCGCCTCCTGAGCATGAGCAGAGATCATTGAGGAATGGACTGGGAGCCAGATTGCCCAATTCCATCAAATTTCCGAATGAATCTCAGCTAGCCTGCCCCTATCCTCAAGAATCCCTGCTAGCCTGCCCGATTTTCGGCTTTTAAGGCAATTTTTCTAGAATTTTTTTGTGCAAACTTCCAGAAAAATTGCTTGCAGATCTCTGCTGCCGCACACGAATTAAATTAGGCGGCGCATCACGTATGGCTATGCCCAAAAAAGGGGATAAAAATAAATAAACACACGCGGGGAAGGGGGCATTCGAATTAGAAGGGGGGGGGGCAGTTGGGAAAAAGTCAATATACCGGTAGAGCCGCTCGCCCACACAGGATTCGCCGAATCTCCCCCGCTTTGACGCGTTCAGATCGGGGAACGGGGGGTTTGGCAAAAATACCGAAAACATCGAAAATATTCGCGAAATTACTACAAATCCAGGGCAGCCTAGCAGAGATTTCCTAGGAAAATATGGGCTAAAAATGCGGAAAGTAGCTCAGGAGAAAATGCCGAAAACAAGCCAAAAATGACTAAAAATCGAGGGATGGCTAGCAGAGATTCGTCAGGAAATTTCCTGACGGCAGCTAGCAGTGACAATTTGTGGAAATGGAGAGCTAGCAGAGATTCTTTGAGGAAATGGAGGCATTCAGTTTGGTTCGTTCCGAACGAGATA